GTCCTTGAAGAGTTTGCAGATCCAAGTAACATCTGCAGATGTGTGTGCCAAAGATTGATACTCTGCTTCTATAGAAGAACGAGCAATAATATGTTGCTTCTTGGCACTCCAGCTGATGAGATTACTGCCAATATAAACACAGTAGCCACTGGTAGAACGTTTGTCAAATACACATCATGTCCAATCAGCATCTGAGAGGGCAGTGAGTTGTAAAGAACTCTTCTTGAACCAAAAGCCTTCATCAACCGTGCCTTTGAGAAATCTCAAAACTTGTTTAACAGCCTGAAAATGAATGTCTCTAGGTAAGAACTGTCAGAGTTGATTCACATCACAAGATAAATCAGGCATAGTCCAAGTCAAATATTGTAATGCATCAACAATAGATCAGTATTCATGGGGATTAGAAATGAGTGTTCCATTATGATCCAATTTTTGGGTACCAAGAGGAGTATCACAAGGTTTGCTGTCATCCATTTGTGTTTTGAGGAGAAGATCAATTGCATATTTGTGTTGAGACAGAAAAATGCCTTCTGAGCTTCCGTGAACTTCCAAACCCAAAAAATAGTATAAAGGGCGTATATCTTTGACTGGAAATAGCTGACTGAGCCGATGAATGAATGCTTTGCAGGTTTGAGTATTACGTCCAATTACTAGTATGTCATCAACATATACTAGTACAATAACAAGAGCAGGCTCAAAAGTAACATATAGAGAACAATCAGATTGAGAATTCTAAAATCCCAGAGAAAGCAAAGTCTGAAATAGCTTGCTTTAGTCCATAGAGAGATTTATGAAGCTTGCACACATAAGAAGCTTTAGATGGATCAATAAACCCCAAAGGTTGTTGTATGAAGACCTCATCCTTGAAAGTTCCATGCAAGAAGGCATTACTGATATCCAATTGATTTAAGAACCAATCAAACTGCACGACTAAAGTCAAAAGAATCCTGATAGTAACAGGGTTGGCAACAGGACTAAAATTTTCCTTGAAATCAATTCCCTATTGTTGATGAAACCCTTTTGCAACCAAGTGGGCTTTGTACTTGTCAATAGTGCCATCTGGTTTCCTTTTAATACGGAAACCCCATTTAGAAGCTTGAATATAAGTGGTAGGGACAAATTTAAAGCATCAAGGGGATGTTTAGTAGCTGCTAAGGCTTTTGGTTTAAAGATCCCAGCTTTGGATCTTGTGATCATGGAATGAGTGTTTGTGGTAGAGAAATGGAGGGTAAGGGTGAGGAAGTAGTGGTAGGAATAAGAGGGGATGAGGTGGTTAAAGTTGGAGTAAGTGAATTTGAAGGTAAGGAGAAAGGAAGGGTAAATGGTGAATGAGGGATGTGTGGCTGTGAAGTTTGCAATGTTGTTGTCTTGAGATCATGGAAAGGAAATGAGGCTTCATTAAATAAAACACGTCGTGAAATGTACAATCTGGATGTGAGAGGATCAAGGCATTTATAACCTTTGTGTTACAGGCTATATCCTAGAAAGACACAATGAATACTTTTGCCATCAAATTTAGAATGTGTATAGGGTTTAAGCAAATGGTAGCAACTACATCCAAAAACCTTGAGTTTTGAGTAATCTGGAGACTTGTGAAATAACAACTCCCATAGAGATGTGACAAAACTAGAAATGGGAAGCCTGTTAATCAAATACAATGCAGTAGAGAAGGCCTCAACTTAGAATTTATGTGGAACCTTTGATGCAGTAAGAAGATTTCGAGCAGTTTCTCTGAGATGCCTGTATTCTCTCTACACAACCATTTTGTTCGGGTGTGTGAGGACAAGAAAACTGATGCATAATACCTTGTTGTAGCAGGAAATATTTGAACATAGAGCTAGTGAATTCACCCCTTGAGTCAGTTCCAAGAACTTTGATTTTATTCCCAATCATGTTTTCTACATAAGCTTTGAAATGTACAAAGATGGAATACACTTCAGATTTGAGCTTTAATGGAAAAAGCCAACTATACTTTGTAAAGTCATCAACAAACAGAACATAGTATCGATAACCATTGACATAAGATATAGGGGCAGGTCGCCAGACATCACAATGAACAAGTTCTAAAGCATCAGACACTGTATACAAGAGAACTATTATGTAAAATCTTCTTGAAGATGGCAGAGGATAGATGACTAAGCCTATTGTGCCAAACCCACAATGAGGCTTTAGTACTAACAAGTGCAGAAGGAGAGATGGAAGCAGTTGGTGTGCCTTGAAAAGGATAGAAGCCATGGTTAACCGGCCCCCGAAAAAGCATCATCCCTGAAATACGATCCTTAATTGTAGATCCATTAGAATCAAGGGTCAATCTGCAGTGATTATCTTTTAGAAATTGATAGGTAGAGAAAAGATTATGCTTCATTGCAGGGACATGGAGAACATTATTCAAACGAAAATTTGCAGTAGGAGTATTAAGAATGGTAGTACCAGTGTGATGGACTTGCATACCTTGACCATCACCTATATGTACTTTGTCTTGACAGTTGTATGGCACTGGAGATTGGATGGTTAAAATATCATTCGTAATATGGGATGTGGCTCTAGAGTCCATAAGCCAAGTAGGGGCAGAAGATTTGTAGTTGGTGTGAGCACACATAGCTGCCAACTTTGCAGGAGGTACTTTGCCAGCAAAGGCATGATTCATCCGTTTAAAGCAATCAATAGCTTTATGATCTGTAGAATGACAAAATTGACATGGCATTTTGTGACCAGAGTTGCTGCCAGATGAATTTCCCCCAGAGTTGCGATTGAAGCCTCTAGAATTGTGATGGAATTGATTTGAATTTCCTGTAATTGCCTCAATTATTACCACGATAGTTATTTGCACTATAGTTATTGCCCCTATAGTTACCTTTGCCACGGTAGGTATTACTACGAGAGTTATGTGCAGTATAGCCTTGTGGTGTGGGAAGAAGAGGAGGTTGAGACTGGAGGTATTGACCTGTATAAGCTTGAAAGGGTTCAGAGGCAGAAGAGGTAACAATCTTCTTTTTGCGATTCATAAACAACCATTTATTAATCAACATGCCATGTAGTTCATCCAAGGAAGTGGACGAGATGCGAAGTATAATCGAGTCAATGAATGACTCATAGTCATTAGATAGGTCATTGAGGGTGACTGGATTCAAATCACTTTCAGAAACGGGAGCTCTAGTGGCCATGAGTGCATCAGAGATGTTCTTGATGTGTTGAATGTATTCTAAAATTGCTAGATCTCTTTTCTGAGCAGAATGAAGATGAGATCGAAGTTGATGAATGTGAGCAGCTGAAACGCCTCTAAAGCGTTGCTCAAGATTAACCCATAGTTCACGAGATGATATGACACCAACTGTGAAATGAATAAGATATTCCAAAAGTGTAAAGTTCAGCCAAATTATGATATTTTGATCTTTTTCATACCACAAATCAAAAGCCAGATTTGGAATTCCAGTATTTCTGCCAGATTCGTCAAGAATAAATGGCGAGAGACAAATTTTAGAGCCATCAACAATTCCTGTGAGTTTATATCGTCAAAAAATTGGAGCAAATAAAGCCTTCTAGACAAGGTAATTATCTCGTTTGAGCTTTGTAGGAACCATACAGCTTATATTATGAATTGAAATTGAAGAAATTGAGGAAGAAAGAGGAACCGCTGTGGAATTAGGGTTCATCTGAGATGAATTTGGGGCAAGAACTTCAAGATTTCTCAGAAAGGAGTTCGACGAAGTTATTGTAACTGCAAATCACATAGAGAAGAAGATCGCAAAGTGGAGAAATCATAGAGAGCAGCAAAATTGCAAATCGTAGAGATCGATTGCAAAGATAGTAGAGAACGCAAAGATTGTAGAAATTGCAAGAAGCGAAGAAGAAGAAGATCAAAGAAATGCAATTAAGCAGCAAAAATTTCAGAGATTGCAAAGATCATAGAGATCACAGAAATCGCAGGAAGCAAAGGAGAAGAGGATCGAAGAAAGGCGATGAAGCAGAAAGGGATGATACCATATTAGAAATATATTTCTCATTGATTAAAATGATTTACATTAAGGTATTTATACAAGTCAATCAATAAGGATTAGTGTCAACTAATGTAACTAATTAACCTTAAGCTATGATTAGTTACAATGCAGTTACAACAAACAAAACTTATACACTAAGTACCTGTTGACTGTACTGCTGACTGTACTAATGACTTGGACTGTTGAGAATGATGTGTCTTTTTACCTTAGAAATATGTATTTATACCAGTCAGGACAGAGACCTTTTTAGGATAGAATCTAGTGCTAAATAGGGAGAATCCTATAGGATATCTAGAAGTAAATATTGCATCCTCTTTAGGAGTATGATTATTTGTTGCGCACGACAATTTCTGGATTGTAGGAACTCCAAAACTTACAGACGATCTAACTGATTTCATACCGAATCAAATCCCCATGTCTTGCGCAACAAGCATGGTCATTCTCAGCGAAGTTGCTCAGATTTCGTCCACTGCTCCAGAACAGGATGATGGTGGCACCACTACTCCGTTAATACAACTTCATTCAAAGTTATTGAGTCTATTACTAGTCGCGTCGATTGGCTTAACTCTTGAGCCATTCTCGACAACACTGTCGTCTCCCAACAACCTCATCCCCCTCTGACAAACCCCCTCGACGGGAGAGGCAAGTCTAGCACCAGGTGCAAAAACTTGTCTCAGCCTCAAGCCTAATTCAATTTAGATAGTTGCAGGTTGTCGATTGATTTTATATAACCTATCTCAACCAGTTGGAGTTTTTACAATTTGAGTACTTGATCTAAACTAAGTGCAAGAACTTGTTTGGGTCCATTACAGTTCAGTCGCATGGGGAGTCGCCGCTCTTGCTAGAGTTGTAGTTAGTGGAGTTGGATGGTGGGTTGGGGGACCCTGTGACTGCGATATGGATTAGGGAATAAGGTTGGTAGAGTTAAGATGGTTGGCTGCAATTTGGGGTCGAGAGGTAAAATTAAGGCTTAGTTAGTTTTCATATTTTTAATTTTTTTTAAATTTTTTTAACTTATCAATTAATTTTTCAATCTTGGGTGAGGAAGTGGGCCAGCACCTTGATGTGATATATAATAGCACACAAATTAAACCCTCTTTTTGACAATTGTAGTATAGATATAAGTAGGGATCGTTCTAGGCCGGGGATTAGGAGGGATTGCTAATCTAATGAAAACTGACTCAAAGATACAAAAATATGCTTTAAAACACTTAAACAAACTCAAAAGACTCTTAACTAAACTTATATGACTCAAAACAAACTTAAAAGACTCTAAACAACACAAAACAATCAAAAAGACTCAAACTAGACTCTAAGACTCAACTTGGACGAAAATAGGTTTGGTTTTGACTCAAAACACTCAAAAACACTAATTAGGACAGATTTGACACAACTAAATAAAGGGGATTGGGTTTTTGACGAATTTAAGATAAAAACAAGTAACTAAAAGACTTGAATAGGATTTGGACGAATTTGGGAAAAACGATGGATGATTAGATAGCTAGAGGATTCTTCTCCACACATGACACACTTGCATACAAATTGATTTCCAGTTGCTTTTCCGATAAACCATGAACCTCAACACCCCAGATTAATCGTGACATCACTAATTAACCCTCAGATTTTCCTTAAGTTATTGGATTGGATGACATCATACGACAACCCAAAGCATTCTTTAAAAGTCCCCTACATGACATCATAATAGAGATACAATCAAAGTTCACTACGTTCTATGAAAATCATAAGTATTGACAAAGCACTTGTAACTATGACATCATGATACTCATGCTAGGAATTTACTTAACATGATTGTGAAAACAACCTTAACTACTTGTGAATATAAGTTTGTAACGATTATGTGAAACTCCCTTATATTCTAGCCCCAAATTCATGCATGCAAACTAAGTGTGCACCCTTAATCAACAAACAAGAATAAGTTATCCATCAAACGGTTAAGTAAATTGCATTCACAATTTATGAAATCACAACTAGAATTAATCAATTCATATTGCAAATATAATCATGGTTTCAAAGTCTCCCCTAGCCAAAACAAAATTAGTTCCTCATGTTTACAACAAAACAAAGAGAATATAAATTAAATATTGAAAACAAAGATTGAATACACCTAAAAATGCTCCAGGTGGCTCTTTCTTCCTTCCTTGCTGCCAACAATGGGGATTTGTGTGAATTTAGGCTCTTGAGGTGTGGTGGATGGTGTGGTGTGAATTTGTGGTAGAGGGTGGTGGTTTTTGAGTGTTGTGGCATCAAGTATTTATAGGGTGAAGGGGAGGCACGAATTTGGGCTGAAAAGGAGAGGAATTAGGACTCCAAATCACCAAAGAACAAGGATACTTTCAATCAGATTCCAAGGAGGACAAGGAATGGTCCTTGTGGCAGATTCTAGAACTTCTAGAAGGGTTACATGTGGCATAAACTTAATGCACGAAAATAGGGCTTCTAGAACTTGATATTTAGGTGATTTAATGTGAAAAGGAGTCCTCTTTGAAGTTGGAATTAAGGTAGGAAAAGATTAGGATAGGATAAGATAATATAATGTTAGAGTTAGGAAAGGATAAGGTTGGTTAGGATAGGATAAGATAAGGTTGGATAAGGTTCCTTATTTCTTGCTATTTCCTTATCTTCTTTGCATTTGGACTTCTTTCTCCAGATTTGTAGCCTTTCCTAGCCCTTCTTGACTTCAATTTCGTCCATCCTCTTTGCTCCGTTGTTAAGCTATCCAATCCATGCCCAAAACTGCTCCAAATAGCCTCAAAATGCACTTTCTTGCTCCTTTTGCCATTAGGACCTAAAAACATACGAAAATAGCTTAAAAGACTAAAATAGATAGTAATTAAGTAACTAAATGCAAGGAAACAACATAACTAAGTAGCATAAATATGCTCCTATCACACCTGCCATGTCATCATTTAACGTTCAAACTGATAGAAAATTTAACAAAGGTAAGACATTGCAATGTTTCAAATATGAGAGATGCGATTGTGGTACGATCCATATTTGAGGTGGTTTTGTGTAATTTACCTTACATTTTTCACAATTTTACATCAAATATTATGAATTTTTATTTATTTTGAACTATAAAAAAAAATATTGTTCAAAAGAGTTATAGAGTTTAAAAATCCAAACGACGAGATGCCTATCATCAAAGCGTAGATGATGCGATCATGAGCATTTGCATTTTTTTTTTCTTCACATTTTCACACTTGCAAGTTGGGTAAATTAGGTTTTACCACCTCAATTTAAAGTCATGTAATAAACTCATACCCCATATTTTGGTCATTGCAATGTCATATGTTAACTTACAAATTAATTGCAATATCAGATCTCCGTAAATAAAATTCATCAATTTGACTGTTAATTGACGACGTGGCAAGTCTAGGTCCCATATGTTTGCTGACATAATCATCAAATTTGTGCTATGTGGCCAAAAAAAAAAATTAAAAATACATTTGATTATTTAAGAATGCCAAAAAGAAAGTTTATTTAAATATATAACTAGCATATAGGCACACATAGAGTGTGTGAGAATTTTTTTTTTTTTTGTTTTTTTTTGAAATAGAAGGAGAGAGGAAAAGAGTGATAGAGAATGTGGAAGTGGAAATTTTTTTTATTATTAAATTAGAGATATGTTAGGATTACATGTATATGATGCTTTGAAAAAAATAGTAAAATTTGATTGCATGAAATTACATTTCTGTCCCATATTTCTTATTCATATTATGTTTTAATTAGAGGGTTAAACTAGTAATTTCATAGGGTTTTGGTTGACAATATGTGTTTTATTAATTAGTAGAGATTACAACTTACAATAATTAATATTAATAAAATTAAGGGAACTTTAATGAAAAGTTCTTGGTACTATTCATTTTAACGAAAAACCATATTTTTACACTAAAAAGTCAATCCTAGTACTATTCACTTTACCCTTTATTTTGTTATTTTCGTTAAAACTCAAAGTTTTCAAGCTATTTGCATTAGTTTTCCTTAAAATTAATCTTCCCCCTTGAATTTCACAAAGAAAAGCTTCCTGTGTTGTTTTCTCTAGTTTTTCCAACTTGTTTAGATTTAACTGCGATTCCTTCAAACCCATAATGAAAACACACAATTTGGTGGCCGATTTCAACAATGAGATGGCGAACTGGGGCCTGCAGTTGGATTCTTCAAATGGGTTTACTCAATCGACAACAACTGTGTAACATCCCGACCTAAAAATTTTTATTTCGGAAAATAATTGAGGTGATAGGCCAAATTAAACTCTTGTTTATTTAACTACCATAATTCATAATTCTTTATCTAAATTTATGAATCACTCACAAAATCTATAACCAAAATTTTATTACCAAAACATAAGATTTAATTTTACAATTAATCACCAAATTTCTTTTCTTAATTCAAATTCCCAAAAGATTTATCTTAATTATTTAAGGCTGCATCTAAGCTTTGTTAGACTGCCTACGTACCCTTGATGTGAGATCAAGCCTTTCGTAGATTATCTTTCATTTTCAATCCATTTCCAATGACATTTAAGTAACCGGAATAACCAACATTGGGTTTAATAATCAAAACACATCAATTGGATACCAAATTCATATTTAGAATATCAAAATTTGCACAAAATGGCAGCATCGGCCCACTGACCACGCGCCGCCGTGGGTGGCGTTTTTAGGAGAACGGAAACCCCGAATTCCGACCAACTTTAAAAATTACCAAATTTTACAAGAAAGTAGAGTTCAATGAAAGGAACAACTTTCATACATGGGCCGAAGTCCAATTCGGCCGGGAAACACCTCAAATCGCCATTGAACCACCAGAAACGCTTGATTTGGGTGTTCTTGATTTGACTCGAAAACAACTTCGACACCCCAACCAATGCATGGTCTTTGTTCCAAGCCTCAAGAAGAGTCCAAAGGTGGTGGTAATTGAAACCCGTCACAGCCACCATGCGGTTTCTCCTAAAATCAAACCAATTTCTTCAGTTTTTCAGGTGCAAATGGGAGAAGGAACAATTGGGTTCGAAGTGAGGAGTAATTTGACACTGGCCCCGTCATCAATGGTGGTCGGAATAGAGAAATGGAGTCAGGTCGGGTCGGCGGGTGATGTATCAATTTTATATTATATATTTAACCCTATTCTTAGTATATTTTGGTTGATATTTTGGTAGAATTTTAATACTTTGATTTATATTTTCAATATAGGACATTCGACTTCCTCTGGAGAAAAACATGATCAAACAGATGAATTCTGGAGTGATTCAAATTGGAGGACGTTCGTGTATCTCTTGGAGTGTTTATATCAACATTTGGGATTTTTCTACCAAGCGGTTATTTTTTAGCGACGGAATAAAGGAGCAGTGTGCGGTGCTGAAAAATAACGTTTCTGGGTTTAAATTGCGTTTTTGGATCCCAAGATGACCTCTGATAGGTTCATGGCCTTCTGGATAAGTGTTCAGAATATTCCAAACCTTAAATCCAGCTATATTGGGCCGGTTTTGGAGCAGTTCTAGGGTCCAAAATGTGGCCGTTCAGATATTAGGCGAATTTTACCATTCAATTTGGGGTTATGTTTCCTATTTTATTTTAGTTATTTAGCTTCCTAGTTCGATTGGAAAACCTTTTATTAGGAGGATTTAATTTCTACTAGGTTAAATAAGCTTGGCCAACTTCATACCTAAAAACTTCTTCTCTGTGCATTCTTGAAGAGAGGAAATTGGCCAAGCGTAGAGATTTTTAGACTTTTTCCATTCTAGATATTTTCGATCTTTTATTATTTCAATAAAGAACTTTATGATTTTTATTATAAATATGCGTAACTAATTCTCTTTTTGCTAGGGTGAGGCCATGAGCCTTAGCAAGAATATGTAGTTTCTTTTTTATTTGCTTATGATTATATGCATGCAGGTTTTCGAGTTATTAATCATTGGTTTAAATTGTCTAATTGTCTTGATGCTTGATCACCATTGAGATGTTTCGAAAAGTAATTTGATGCAATTTTGGTCGGAGTTTGGTCCCTGAAATTGACGAAAACTTCTTGTGATTAATATGTACAAGTTCACTTAAGATGAATACCACGTCTTAAGGGTTGTACGGTTTTCAAAAGGTTTCACAAAACTTAATGAGTCATGCATGTTTAGATTTGATCTGAATACCACAGACGGATTGCATGTTTGATAAACGCTTTATGTTGGGGGTCCAAGTAGGCATATATTAGGAAAACCTAACCTTCGAAATATGCATGTATAAGTCATAAATAATTGATAGAACTATATAGGATTGTTATGGTGACGGTGGATCCCTGGTGCTTTCTTTAATTTGATTTCTACAAAACTGTTTCCTTTTTCTTCATCTTTAATATTGCATATTAGTTTCTTTTATTAATTAAATTCGTTTTATTAAATTAGGTCATAAAAATCAATCATCTCAACTTTTTGCTTTACAATAATTAATTGAAATTTGATTTGCTTCGATTTGTTTAATAATTCCTATGGAGAATGACCTTGCCAAAACCATTTATACTACAATATCCTTGTCATTCTTGCAAGTAATATAGGAGTTTTTAGCCCGTTTGTAGCTATCAGCGGGTGGAAGGGAAGGAATCGGGTTGGCGGGTTCTCCCTTCCCTCTTTTCCCTCCTCTTCTTTTCTCCCCTCCTTCTAATTCGTCCACCCCCTCCTTTTCTCTCCTTTCCTCTCCATCACAGCCACACATGTGGCACATCCATTGTTCTAGAAAATCTGAAGCATTCTAGATGAAGGTTAAAATTACAAAAATATCCCTGACTTTCAACGTTAATAACTTCTTCGTTATAACTTCGTTTCACGAACGGTTTGCGCCTACGCATTCGTGAGATCGAGCTCTATTCGAATATATAAATTGTGACCTTGAAGGGTCTACGGATTTTAGATAATTAATTTCCAAACTTCAAACTTCGTAACTAGTTTAATTTAAAACTCAAATCAAATAAAATAATATAAATTCTCCAAAAATAATATGAAATCTCAATAATACCAATACGTAAATTATAATAATTTATGGTAACAAAATTTTAAAATTCCTCAATTAAATTTTCATAACCATAAATCGATTTATTTTCGATTTTTCTCCACATATTCATAATTATGAATATTCTATTTCATATATTTAAATTTTCAGGGTATTACAAACTGGATCGTCTTCTTGTCGGGTCCCTCCTCCATGCCGAGCCTCTCAACCTCCAAACACAACTGTTTAAGGAGCCTGATCTTAGCTATCCATTTGCCCAGTGACGTTGCCTGACACTCTTACAAAGCTTGGTGGGTATTGGTAGCAAACCGAAGGAACTCACCTGCTTCATCGAGATGGATTTGGGGCTGAGGAAGCTGAAAGTATTAGAATGATAAGTTTTCCCAAAAGATGTGGGGTTAGGAGTGGGATTGAATCTGATGGATCTGGGAGAGGGTGAGGTGGTTTAACCTGATTAACGACAATTATTCGTGGTGCTGCTCAGAGAACCCATCTCAAAACATGGGTCATCGAGGAAGTGGAGCAATTGTCATTGTAGAAACTGGGCTGGTTTGGGAAAAAGAGGAAGTCATAGGAGGAGGAAGACGAGGTAGAAGGGAGCAAAGGGAGGAAAGGGGCTGAGAAATAAGGAGTTGTGGAGGTGGTGGGGTGACAGTGGAGGCAACGATGGTGAACGGCCCAAATTGAAAAATATCTTTTTAATTTAGGGAATTGTTATTGGCACGCCAAAATTCTCATTCTACACTCCAAACTTTCTATATTTAGAAAGAAAAATACACTTGTGAGGAGTGTAGAATAAGATTTTTGGAGTGCCAATAACACTTCCTTTAATTTATAATATTTTAAAAATATTTCTAAATATTAATTTTTTATTATTTTTGTGTTCACATGACTCATACTTAACATCTATATTAGCAAAAGTGTTGACCCTATATTTGCAACATCATCATTTATTGGCCAAACTAATAGAAAATTTAGCGGAGGTTTAACATTGCAATGAATTTGTTAGTTGATGCATGACATTGTAATGTTTAAGGTGTGCTATCCTCACATCTTTTTTTACTTATCATACACCTCTTAATTTCTGACCCTCAGATCGAATGAATTGAACAAGATCAAAGGGCATAAATTAATCAGGAGTGTGTGAGAAGTAAAAAAGTGTATGTAGATATCACACTCCGTATTTAAAAGATGAGGTATGAGTTTATTATGTGGCCCAAAGTTGAGGGATTAAAATATAATTTACTCGATTAATTATTATGAATTTTTTAATGGATTTTGGTATATTTAAATTGCTTTGGTATTTCTAATGTGCTTTGGAATATTTTAATCTCACTATGTTTATTGAAGTAAGGTTTTTTTTTTTTTAGTAGTTTAA